TTGAGTTTACAAATATTTTTAATTATTTTTTTGTTTTTAATTAATGTTTTAGAAATGATACAAAATGTTTTTTTTATTTTTAGCAATATTATATTTTACTATAATTTGCTAAAGCCGACTTTTTCCACCAATGTTTTATTATTTTGGTTGTATTTTTTGTTCTGTTTTTCTTTCAAATTTTTATATAAAAAAATAAATGCACAAAACGATTTTTTGGTATAAAAAATAACAAAAAATAATCTATTATGATAATTGTAAATTATTTGTTTTTATTTATTTTTTGGGGGAAAATCACCCAATAATATTTCAAAATTATTTAAACGGGGTTGAGACAATATTTTAAAAAACTGTTAAAAAGAGCAGTATTGGGTTGTCGGCGAGTTAAAATTGATATATTTCTTTCGATTTCTAATTATATCCAAATTAAAATTATAGTAAATAAAAAATTGGATAGATATTTGGTCTGGTTTATGAATTCAAAAAAATGCCGAAGAATCACTTCGAGTTAGTAGAAACCGATTGAGACGAAGCATTGAAAAAAGGCACGTAAATACGCTTTCAAATTGTCTGTTTGCGCACCGTTTTACGCACTTTTTAATTTTTCCCTTGGTGTGGATCTACCTTGTCTTCGGCACGCGGGGGAAGGAAGATCCACATCTACACAGTACGGACAAGGAAAGTGTGTGAAATAGAAACGCCCAAACAGTGGTTGAAAAACCGATTCCCTTCGAAAAACACTCGCGGCAAATATTTTTATGATAAAGGTGGTGGTGGTCAATGTAGGTCCCTATATTATTTTCTGGTTGTTTAACATTCCAATAATTAATTGTTTATTACTTTATTTTTATTTACCGCATGGGTTACTTTTAATGCTTAACGAAAAGTGACTTATTAACACTTAAAAAGTATACAAAATGCGTTTTTGGGAAATGATGTTCAAAAATAACAAAACCATTCAAAAATATAATGTTTTATAAAAATTTAAATAAATTAGTAAAAAAAACTATAAAATTAAACTAGTCTTATCTTAAAAAATTGAATGGCTGTTGAAGTTAGAACGGACACTTTTTTGTCCGCCCGATTTTACACGTCCAAATAATCTCGAAATTTGGTGCATTTGTTGCATTCTCCCCTTAAAGTTAATTTTCCCACAAATCGGTATAATTTCAAATAATGCAACCTGTTAAGTCCGTAAAGCCACATCAAACTGGGGCTTTTTTATTGTTGTTGTAAAATCACAACTCAAACTGTTAAATATTCTTTGTTTCGCTTCGGCCACAAATTATTTTTCTTTTTTTACTTAAAACCATTTCCAAATCAATACCATTCGACATGTCATTGAATGTATCGTCAAGCCGTAAAGCCCTCTAGCAGCGTCAGAGAGTTTATTTGTGTTGTCGTTGATTTTGTCTTTAAACATTTATTATGAAGCTTTTTATCTAAGCGGCCAAGCCTTAATCATATTATTTAAGTGGCTCACTTATCAGCTTTGACTCGAGCTGCTATTTTACTTTCCTAAATTTTTATTTCTTTGTCAAAACTTAATATATTTTTATTATAATTGAAGGTTCATTATTACGATTATTAATAATATTATACAATTAATCAATACCTTAATATTATTTTTTATAGTTCAATTATAGTAAATATTAGGTATGTTGTAAATTAAAAGATTATTTAAAGTTCTATCAGAAAAAATCTAAAAGGCGGACAAAAATTGTCTATTTTGGCAATTAAGTGTTAAATCAACCGAGTGAATTAAGAAAAATACATTGGCTTTTTTTAAAAATTCGAATAAATGGGTTAATTAAATGGGTGTGTTGAAGTTAAACAAGGTTGAACAAAAGAATAATATTTTATAATTTAATAACAATAATTAATAATAAACACTCAATTCTAGCTCACATTAATCTGTTGTTCATTTATACTTTATACAACACATTCATTTTTTTTCATCCCGAAAAATAACCGTTTTTGAGACCAAATAATAAGTAATTACACATTTATTTATATCTTTGCCCGTTTTATGGTATAAAATAAGGTTGACGTAAAAAAAAGTAAAATTTATTTTACCTATTCTGGTATAAAGTTTAAAATTTTACCTTTTTACCAAAAAACACTAAAAAAATAAAAAGTTCGTAATAATGTTTATTTATCAAATTTAAAGACCTTGATATCTTTTGAAGAGCAAAGAAAAAAAAATCGGCATTTTTAAATTAATTACTTTATTAAAAAAACACTTATATTATAAACATTATATAAAATGGCCATTTATTAAGTAAAACAAACAACAAGTAGTTTTAATGAGTAATTTATATTGTCTACAAGTTTGTGGGTTGTTTATGAAAAAAATAAACAATATATTAATGATATATTGTCTGATTTATTTGTATTTTGTACAAGTTATATCACAACATTTTTTTACAATAATTTAAAAACATGTTAATTATTATTGAAAACATAATGTTGTAATTATTGTGACAAATGTAAAATATGATATTAGGTGCTCTGATATTGATTTATTAAACAATGTCTTTTTTAAAAAACAAATAAGTTGTTAATTTTATGAATACACAGCAAAAAACATTTCAACATGATAATTGTATTAAAAAATTAATTCTATCAATATCAAAAAGAAATTATAATATTTCCAACTTTTAATAATCTATCAGTTGCAAATTCAACAAAAAACGATAAAAAGTTGATAGACAACGAAGTTAATACATACAAGATAAATTAGAAAACAAGAACTACAAGTTTTATAAAACAGACTTTATTATATGATTATATAATATATACAAATTAAAAAATTGTGTAAATTGGCTTTAAATTTATTCTTTGTTTGTTTAATGATTATATATAAACTGCTGTGTATTTTACATATTTATTGTTGTTTGTTACAAAATTTAATAATTATACACAACAATCGTTTTTGCTTTTCAAAAAACGTTGAATGACAAAATAAATTTTTGATTTCATTGTTAGTTTATTGACTAAATAAAAGACCAAAAATGTATTATTTGAAAAAAAGGCTGGATCTAAAAGTTCCAAGGAGGTAAAATTTATATTTTTTTTACCAAAATGAAAAATTTCATGGTAAAATAATTATACGTCAACCATAGTATAAAATCCGTTTAATAATCAATAGCTATAATTAGTCTGGTCCCTGATTTTTCCAATGGTCTTCGTTAATTGCACTATCTGTACAGGCAGTGAAGTGAAGGTATAAATTTTCAATTGAATACTAAATAAAAGGGTTTTGAGAATAATAGAACAATTTTACGTCATATTTTTACTGTTTTTTCTGGTTTAAATTTTTGATCCATAAAACTAAAAAAATAATTTGAAAAAATTTAGACCCATTTTTAGATTATTTTTAAATTCGACTTTGATGAAAAATAAGTTGAAAAATAAAATTGAACGAACTTAAAAAATAAATTGAAGTCGAAAGAAGAAAAATATGCAAATTCCAAGCATTAACTCTTGTTTTAAAAAAAAACTAAGATTAAATATTTTGGGTGTCATTTAACACGTTTGTTATTGTTATTTTGTCATTATTTAGCCACTTATTACATAAATATTCAAATATTAAATTTTATTACATCATCTTTAAGATCTTTAATTTATGGTAAGTTGTGGGTGTGGTTATTGAGTATTGTGGCTATTGGGCGAGCTGGCAAAAACAAACAAACTTATCATTTGTTTGATTGTGATGAAGCAGGATTTGTGAAGTTTGCTTTGTTGCCAAGTTTGGTTAA